AGATATAAATATAGAACATTATGAACAAATATATAAAAAGTATTCATCATATGAACTATTGACATTACTACTGTATATACTATTTGTCAGCGGTTTCCTTTGCGCCACTAAAATAACATTTTGAGAGCTGCATTAATAACATTTGTTGTAATATCTTCACTGTCTGCTTCCGTCTTGTGTTTGTTGATTTTGATTTATGCACGCCACTTTTTGCATGGAGGTGGCTGGAAAATGTCTACACTGTCCTGTTGAATAAACAGACATTGTTGAGCAGGTTCAGTGGAGTGCTTCTTAGTGAGGGGTCTATCAATTTAAAAACATGAAATACTTATTAGGTCAAGATACAATCAAGATACAATACTTATTTTTTATTAAAAAAATGTCGAGCTCCTTGAAATAAAGTGTATCCTTGGCAGGATTTATCTCCATGAAAGTTCTTCTTGAACATCCTCTCAGATGGCTGTGCAGAAGCGTAGCCCTCAGGAACGGATAAATCCCAAGAGTCTCAGAAAGCAGGACCTCTTAAATGTTTTTTCTTTGCTTTAATACTTACTGGAGCCCTCAATGGGAGAGAACTTGCTTGTATGTTCAGCAATCTGTCAGATAAAAACCAATTGTGTTAGTGGGGCATTTCATATCAGTGCGCAAGGCTTAATACTTAAACAGAGCAAAAATGTACTGTCAGTCTTACTGAAAATTCCATCATATGTTATTTCTCTTTTTAATATTTGAAAGACAGGTTCCTTGCTGTTGTGGCTGGTGTTAATTTAAGTAGAGCCCAGTTGAACAGTAATGTTATGGTCAATTGATGTGTCATGATTGTTAAAATGAAGGCTGAATGAATGTAGTTATGTTTTCTAGCCATATTATTTCCACATAATGAGCCACAAATTGTGTTAAATTAGAGGTTCATGTGAAATCGTGTCTTCTCTAGAGTGCTATAATTCATAAGCTTCACCAGACACCGAGAACACAGCAATATCTCCACCAGAATGAGGTAATCATGTGCATAACTATCCCATCATGCCTTAAGGCAGTGTTAACAGTTATCTCTACGACATCAGTGAGGCGTAAGGTTTAATGGGGTTCAATTTGTGTCACGGGCAAAATCAAAGAACGTCATTTCTTGGTAAAATTTAAAATCCTTCCCAAGACAAATGGTGAAATATGTCACAGAGGTCTTAATGGGAACATCAACAAGCATGTCCTAGGACACAAAGGTCCTCTTCACATTTTTAATTGTTCAGAAATCACACGGTCACAGTCGTCCTGCATTTCAAATTTGAATGTTAATTGCATATGCGACTCTTGAAAGGCGGCTCATTCCTGCTGGTGTGACCACCATGGAGCAGGTTCAGACTTAGGCTTTTCATGTTAATTGGTCACCTTCATTATTGTTCATTTAAATAAATGTGCCACTCTATCAGGACCATCTTCAGCACTGATTGGACTTGGTCTACGAGCACCAGATAATTGGATGGTTTGTTTTTGTATTAAAATATTGTCCTTTTGGAAAATGTGCTTTTTGAAGAAAATTAGCGATTAATGCCATGTTAAAATTGTTTGAGACAGTCACACTGATCTTTGCTCTTTGAATGTCATTGGAAATATCAGATGGATTGGTATCAACAATGAATTGTTTAAAACAGGGTTTCTGCAGGTTTTGTGAATGCAAATGTAAGACATTTTAAGACAAAGTAAAGAAAATTTAGGGAATAAATCGAAAAGAACAATAAGTCGATATGTTCTCTTAATGCAAGTGTCTTGTATTAACAACTCGTCAAAGTGTGAAAATACAACTTCCAACTGATCTCTATTACTTTTTAATTCATTTTACAAAAAAAAAAAAAAAGGCTTAAGGCTTGAATACCTCCCAACCACTAGAATATGAAAATAATTTTTACTGTACCCTCTGATCACACTGCAAAAAAGCTCAGGAAAAAAAACAACCTTTTTTTTTTTGCAATACATGCAACATTTACTGCCATGACTCTATACATTTAAGACTTGGACTTTAAGACTGCTCTGATTTAAGACCTTTAACTGCGAATAAGACTTTTAAAGACCTTTTTAAGATATGCAGAAACCCTGTTTGAAAAAAAAAACACTTTTTGTCTTAAGCATTTTTGTCAAAACACTTAAGCATGCCGTCTGATGAAGGCTTTCCATTATGATAACTAAAGTGTGAAAATACAACTTCCAACTGATCTCTATTACTTTTTAATTCATTTTACAAAAAAAAAAAAAAGGCTTAAGGCTTGAATACCTCCCAACCACTAGAATATGAAAATAATTTTTACTGTACCCTCTGATCACACTGCAAAAAAGCTCAGGAAAAAAAACAACCTTTTTTTTTTTGCAATACATGCAACATTTACTGCCATGACTCTATACATTTAAGACTTGGACTTTAAGACTGCTCTGATTTAAGACCTTTAACTGCGAATAAGACATTTAAAGACCTTTTTAAGATATGCAGAAACCCTGTTTGAAAAAAAAAACACTTTTTGTCTTAAGCATTTTTGTCAAAACACTTAAGCATGCCGTCTGATGAAGGCTTTCCATTATGATAACTGATTTAATTGGAAACGGGATTATTAGACACATTAAACATTCCATTTTAGGAAAGTTGTTCAGAACACAATGGCTTATCAAGCAAGCTATTGTTAGTAATAAACCTCACAGATTCAGTCACAGGTCCTTCATTCTGCTGTGCCAGCGCTTTTAGTAATTAACAGAGAATGTGGTTAATTCCCATGCATCTCTGCCTGAATTGCTATAATTATACAGCTTGCACTGAGACCTCCATTCGACCATGAGCAGTGCTGGCACACAAAGTCTGTTTAGACTTTCTATTTCTGAAGGACTGCATGCGTTCCTCTATGCCTCTATGAAGGACTCGTCCTCCTGATGCCCTTCTGCCTTTAATGATTCTAATTCCCCATGCAAATACCATTCATTTGCCTCAGTTGAATAATTCTGGCCTCAGTTTAACCCTAAGGCTGTAGTTACTACAGTGCAGAAGAAGACCTGCCACTGGGACCCCATTTTGTAGGTGTGCAGCCCCTCACTCGATCATTTCAAAGGCTGAGGGTGCCATTGTGTGCCACTATCCATGCATTGGACTGATTAATTATGTGGTCATTAACGATGTATGTGACAAGCACTCATGCAGAATATGTCGCTGCACTCCTGTGTGTGTGTTAGGAAAACTCAACAGTGGTGATAATCTCTCATTACCGTAATCCCTGGTTGGGATCCAGTGCAATAGTATGGCATGGGACACTCTGATGCTGTATTCTTCCCGGGGCAGATGGAGTGGAATCACTCACTCGATATATTAACGCTCCGCCACCAGTTCAAAGCAGTCGGGCAAAACGCATTCATCACCATGAAGATGTGGCTACTAAATCAGCGTGATGAGACCCAGATTCAACGCTCCTTGTTTGCATACATCTATAAGTCTGTTTTGTTAACAGTCATGTCTTGAACACTCGCATTATAGTGTCATAAAGATTATTTTGACAGTCTAAGGTGATTCATTTTACATCGCATAATTTATTATATGCCAAAACTATCTCTTTAAATAAATGATATTGATAGCATCGAAGTGGAAGGATTAGCAATGAATTCTGGATCAGTACACCTCCTCTAAACAGCAACACTATAACGGGAATAGTGAAAGTATCTAATTTCACAGATGAGATATCTTACTTTATATTATTGTCTGGAAACATAGTTAGCACATTAGCATTAAACGTCTGCCAGCCTCGGGCAAATGCACGAACAGAGCAGATAGATAAATGTTTCAGAGGACTCTCTGTGGGACTTCTCCAAAGGCACAGAGAAAGATTCTCTCTAATATGAAATGGAGATTTTAATATACTTTAAAGACACCCTCAATAGCAAATAAAAGTGTAGTTTTGTCTCATTATTGCAGGCTAGAATTGGTCTGTGTGCTTGGGGCAAGATGGATCACCAGTGGGCTTATTACCATTATTAGCACATTTAGTGCTAGTCCCTGTTGCCAACCTTGCTGATTGTAGGAAAACATCTCCCTAATAACCTTAACGAGAATAATGCCCCAGGATGCGCCATGTCCTCCTTAGAGAGAGGGTATAATGTGCTGGGGGCCACACATCCGCTATCCCTCCCAAAGTCACCCGCACTGCTCCTCCTGTCTCGTTGGCTCCGGTTTCTTAGCTGTGGGGCAGTAATCTCCTGTCTGCTCCACTTTACCATACCATGAGAATTACACCCACAAGGAACCGAGCCACAAATTGTTCAGATGGATGGAGCGTAAAATTGATAAGAATATTAAATTTGCCATTTGACAATGCTATGGCATCTATAACCTGCAGTAAAGTCCACTGGAGTGATGGATACTCCAGAAGAATATGGCTTTGTTTATATTGCATGATGGTAGGAATTGTAGTGCTTTTGTTGTCCAATAAATTTGTTCGGAATAAATTGGGGGAGAAAGGATTGTTTTGACTAGACTATATATAGTCATTATGCGGTTAGTTGACATATTGATCTTTTGTTTATTTATTTAACTCATAGCCTAGGAATTAATTACTCATTTGCATATGAAAGCGAAAGGTGGCAGTTTCGTTTAAACCATCCAGTTAATCACATTTTGTCGTGACTACTTCATTTTAAATGGTCCTACAGTCGGTGTGACGAATTAATTTTTTAGAGAACGAAAACTCAATTACTGCGAGTTCATAAAAACTGCATGCACAATAATATAGAAGAAATTGTTTTTGGTGAATTATAGCAAGTTACACTCCAGCACACTGCTGAAAATGTCGATCACAAGACCATGTGCAGTTTGCTGAATTGCTGAAGTAACAGAAGCTCAGAGCGCTTTGTGGAGGGAGGCGCTGCCCCCTACAGGACGTGAAGGAGAACTGCGCGCAGACCCTCGCCCGTGACGTCCCCATAGCGCGCGGTGTGGCTCTGGCATCATGTGAGAGAGTCAAAGTCAGTTGTGCTGACACAAACAAGGAAAACGAGACCTTTGAGTGGATCGATAGACGGTTAGGCTCAGGCAGTTAGCACAGATAAACTAGGTTTACACTGAATTAAAGAGAAAAACAACGTCTAAGTTATCATGGCATCTCTGTTTAAAAAGAAGACAGTTGACGGTAAGTCACTTTGTTAATTGTTTTATTATAGTTTTTCATGGTTAGATCCCTGATTATAATTTACACCTGTCTGCCTGCTGCATCTTTTGAAACTTTATCAGCATGTTTCACCTGTTTTGCTATTTTTACGTACGGAAGTCACAGTCAAAAAGGCGGAATATTTGCTACATGTGTGTTTTTGTTATTAATAATGACTGTGAATAAACAGTAGCCTAGGCTACTTTCATTATAATAACAGGTGTTTCATAAAAAATGATGACAGTTGCACTCATGTGTCTGTCCGTGATCCATGCGTTATGTCTTCTAACATTATTTACATAAAAGTTTGTTTTGTTTCTTTTACACAAATGATTTTCCACTGTACCAAAAGTGAAAACAATTAAAACCATTATTTCATCGTGAAAAGTAACAAAGCCACTCATCAAGATTTGTGAGTATCATGTTGGTTACCTCATTTACAGGTCCTTTTTAGATTCTTTTACATTGAAATTTTTTTTTACATTATAGATGTTTATTATATTGACAGCTCAACATGCAAAGCAAATTATTCCCTCGATGGACAGCATTATGAAGATCAAATTGCGTTCTGAATATTTGGCATAGTTAGCTGGTTAGATTAACAGGTTATCTATCTGCCTCAAGACTCAACTGATCATTGTATCATTCAAACACTTCCATTTAAACCTGTCTCCAGTGATTAACAATAGAAACACTCATTCATACAGTTCATACTATATTTTAAAGACCATACTTATCTTTTTGTTTTAGGCTATTTTATTTATTTATTTATTTTAGATTCTGCATTGTCACTATCCTAATTTGAGAGAATGTTTTAAAGTTCTTATTTATTTATTTGCTTTTATCAGCTATAAAAAAATATCTACTGCCTAGTGCCTATACAGACTTATACACATGGTATAGTCTATAATAAATAAATATAAAGCAGAAGAGTTGGAGGTAAACTGATATAAAATCATTTGAATCAATCATAGTCTTTACTCACGTTCTGATGCTTTTGTCATGGTCAAGTAGAATTCCCATCATTCCCGAGCCTTTGTCCTCTTGACCTTCGTGCCAAGGTGAGCCAAGCGTCATCGTGCCAAAGTATCCTCTCAGATGGCAGAGTTGGTTTAGCTCAGCGAGTTTTGTGGACGATAACCCTCCCTCAATACTACGTTTTCGGTGCGTCATCTTTTGCGTAGACTTGTACGTGTACACAAACTCTCTCATCAAGGTTTAGACATGGGCAAGTAACAAAATTATTATGATAATGATGTAAAAAAAATATATTTACAAACTCTTTGTAACTTTTTTTGTACTTTTCTTTCTTTTGTACAATACTAATGAAGTTTTTGTTTCGCTTTATTATTGACATATATAGAATTTTATCAAAATTTTTTTACTTTCATACATTTAATACATATTTCATACTTTTCATAATTTTTTAATTAATATTTAAACAACTTCATTAGATTTGTCTTTTTATATTCTTATATATATATATATATATATATTTATTTTTCTTTTATGATTTGCTTTCTAATAACTTTTTGATCAATTTGCATGGTTTTTCCTTTTTCCTATCTTATTTTTAACATTTTTTATTATTTTTTATTAAACTTTTTTCCCCCTATAATTTAATTCATTTACTTAATAAATGTTCTTGTATTTTCTTTAAACCGTTGTCCTCCTACTACACCCTCTGTTGCTTCTAATATTGACAGTTTAACCTCACGGGATGTTATGATATGATTGGCATTCATGAGGGCACATGTTGGGCTGATTGCTGTGTAGGAGAGCGTATCTTCCCTATAGGCGTTGTGGCTGCACTCTGCCATCCTTAGAGGTGGAGTATGAAGAGGAACCTTATGTTCAGCGCATGTGTTTAGCTTGTCCCTCAAATGCATGAAAACAGGAAGAGCATGATCTTGCTGGCTTTGCTCCCAAACAATGTTTTTTGGGCTCCCCAGGCTCATGGAAGCACATTTCATTAACTGCAATATTCAGATCCAAAATAGGCTGTGAATCAAGCCCATTTAAGTGCTCTTGTGGTTAAGGTGCCTAAATAGATTTTCTTCCTTAAAGGGAGCATATCAGTTTTTCTTGACCACAAATACTGGCTATATTCTTCAACAAACAACAAAAATAGTAGTACAAACAGCTTAAGCAGTGATAATTATTGTAAGCATGATGTGGATGGACCATTATGTTATGCTTTCCTATTTATTTTATTTTTATTTAATTTTATTTTTCATCAAGTGTAAAACAAAATCACACAAAACACAGTTGTGAAATTTTGTACATGCAAACCACTCATATTTTCTTTAGATGTTAGTTATTACTACAGTGCAAACAGTAATAATGAAAAATATTATTAACATTTAAAATAACTGTTTTATATTTGATTGTGTATTAAAATGTAATTTATTCATATGATGAAAAAAGCTGAATTTTCAGCATCATTACTCCATTCTTCAGTGGCACATGATCCTTCAAAAATCATTCTAATATGCTGGTTTGATGGCCAAGACACATTTATTATTATCAATGCTGAAACAGTTCTGCTGCTTAATATTTTTGTAGAAGCTATGATACTTTAAAAGAAAATAATCTTTTGTAACAGTTCACCATAGTCTCTTGATGAATGTAATGCATCCCTACTGAATAAAAATATTTTCTTAAAAAAAAAAATCATACTTTTGAACAGTAATGTGTAT